AAATTCATATTCAGTATTTTCTATAATGGTTATTTAATTCTATCAATAATTCATTATTACTATTTTGGTTTCACATTTGATCTTAAGTATTCCCCGTTTTCATTTCCGTTTCCATTATATTCCAGAAATATTACTCTATTAAATCAATACGAATTAATCAATGATCTCTTTTGGCTGCGCTAGCCCAGCTTCTGCTAGATTTTCAGCTTCTGTTATTTTGTTTTAACATTCGCTCCCGAATAGATATTTTTTGCCCGGAGGCCTGGCCGCTATACCTGCCGTAGCTCATAATGCTGTCTGTCTGCCCACTTACTCATATCTAATGACTTCTCAATCTGTGTCCCCAAAGTGCGCTGCACGCTTCCAGTGGAGCACTTAACGGCGACTTCCGCCCCAGTACGAACCAAGGCACCGCCAGTGGCTGAGGCTCTCGGTGCTGGGCCTCGGTTCGGATGGACTCATTTCATTCATGAGTGGATGGTCAGGTTGCTGTGCATCGGCAGCTCGTTTGGGGCTTTGATAAATGCGTTTTTCGGGTATGTAAGTCAGTAGCCAGTTGTCGTTGTGGTTGTCGTTCCCCTACTCATTGTTGCTGCTGTTGTTGTTGCTGTTGTTGTTATTCGCATTGTCGTCCTCCTTGCCTCGTTGCGCTTTAGCAGCGATCTTGGAGCATTGCTGGCTGAATGTGAAAAATTATTATGCGTTGCTCCGGCTTTGAGCAGTCGCCGCCGACGCCGCAGCAGATTAAATAAATTCAGCCAACCAAGCAGCCAGCCAGCTTGCCAGCCAGCCAGCCAAACCACTGAGCCACAGTCGGCTTAATCTCGAAAAAAAATCCACAATCCTCAATCCGCCAGCCGCTGCAGCAAAAACTTGCAAACTCAATTGGCAAAAGCTGCAGTTCACGGTGGATGCCAACCGCTTCTAGCGGGTGTGGATGGGGCACAGAGTGCCGGACAGAGGAGGAAGGGGCCAGGGGCTAGCACGTAATCCCAGTTGCTCCATCAGTCTTGTTCGATCAATTGCACATGCGCACAGGTTCTCTCTCGCATTTCTCGTTTGCTACTTGACTCTGCTGGCCATTTGCTGTTGGCCATTTGCTGTTGGCTGCTGGCCTTTGCCAGTTGGCTGTTGGCTCATTGTTTGCAAGAGTTTTTTGCTCGATCATTGCGGCATTTGGCGGCTGCAAAGGATTATGTTTTATTTATGCGCCGCACAGCGAACTTAACTTCAATAAATGTCCGGCAAATATGTGGAGCATGTGTTTCTTGGCAATTTTTGTCGTAAATTTTTATGTTTGATCGTCGTTTGCCCGTGGCTCGTAGCTCGTAGCTCGTTTAAAGCCAGTTTCAAAACTCGGCTGGCTGGCTGACTGCCTGACTGCCTGACTGTCGATTGTCGATTGTCGATTGTCGGCGGTTATGTTCTACATTTCGTCATATTATTCGCAGCATTATTGTCAACTGTCTGACTGACTGCTTGGCAAAAAGTGATGTTGACTCGATTCCAATAACAGCAGCAGCAGCAGCAGCAGCAACAACAACAGCAACCACAATAACAGCCGCTTCCTTTGGCGGCGCATCTGAGAAACGTGGCCTTCAATTGCCTGTCGCTAAATTGTGAAATGCAATTACCAATCGCAACATTTAGAAATGTTCAATCCAAATCCAACGCCCACTTGCCGAACCAATTTTAATATGAAAACCCAATTATCGGCTCTGCCCCTGGGCCATGCCATGGCTCTCGATGCCTGAGTGACGCTTTTGTCTGTAATTGTCTGTGGTTTAATTATAAAACGCCTCCTTCTCGCTGGGGCCGGCCGGGTATGCAAAACCGCAGTCCTAACTGGACAGCGATGATTCGGGCCGAGCTACCCCGTCGACCGATGCGACGCCTCTGCTAATTTGCCAGCCCCTTTTCTGTGGGCCCATTGTCCATCCGGCTCTCCGACTGTCCGGCTGTCCGACTGTTCGGCTGTCCGCTGGCCTGTTAATTTTACACTCGCATAAAATGCATTATCAATACATTTAAACCATTGTCAGGTTTGGCTTTTTGAGAGCACCTGCCCCTGTTTGTGGCCCTGCAGCAGCAGCAGCAGCAGCAGCTCCGATATCTGCTCCACCACAAAATATTTTGTGCAAAAGCAATTATGATTTTGTCATTCGGCAGTGTATCCCAAAGATATGAGCTCTCTCTCTCTCTCTCTCTCTCTCTCTCTCTCTCTCTCTGCACGACACTCCAATGCATTGGTTGCTGCAGTTGTTGTTGTTGTCGTTGTTATTATAGCAATTGTAGTTGCTGCTGTTGCTGTTGCAGTTGCAGTTGCCTGGAGGCTTCGTCTGCCTGTTTCTGTTTTGGCCAAACAACACTCGTCCCCGATATGAATGGCAAATGCAAAACGTTTCTGACATGCCCATTCCGTAATAAACATTTTTGAGTTATCACGCTCTGCGAGGCTTTTAAATGATTTCGTTTTGAATGCGCATTTCCTATTTAAATCTCTCGCCGACCAGGGAGTGAGGGGGATTTTCGATGCTCCGTACTCATTGCATGTTTAGTGCCTGCAGCCGCAAATGGCCAAAATGAGCTGCCTGACTTTGATGAATCCTGCCGAAAGGCTCTGCCGATAATGTTGAGTCTGCTAACAGCAATAGTAGCTGTACTTAGCTTCTAAAATAAAGTGTGGTTTGAGATATATACATATCAGAAATGATGCGACGGTACACAAAAAAAGGGCTATGGATACATTACTATCAAATTATTAAT